TGACAACAGCAATAATTATATCAATAAATGGTGCTGCATACTTTCTTCAGTTGGTGTATTCGTAGCTTCATTTCTGATTGTTTCTGTTTATCTACTTGACTGCTAATGCTCTTCATGAAAGAATCCAGTGAATCTCCACTTCCACTGATACCTAATAGCAATAGAAATAATAGTGATCACTAATCAGGCTATTATATCACTCTGTAAAACTATTGATATATTTCTTTTACCTTTCTTAGAGTTTTCTAGTGATTGGTGTAACTCTTTTAGCTCTGTCTCTACAGCAGATAGTTTGGAGCTCTACCAAACAACAATACACAAAACAAAATGATTGTATATATAGACACACATTGTTTGTTATTTACTAGTGACTCATAAGTCTCCACAGTGTCTTCGATTTTTCCAACTCTCTTCATTCTTGTCTTTCTTTTCTTATCAACTAGTAATAATAATAATAGTAATAATAATAGTAATAATAATAATAATAATAATAATAATAATTTAACAAGCATTAAATCTCCATTATACACATATAGCACTTCCAGTAGTAACACAAGTATTCTGAAAATACATAATAAATATGTAGCTTAAAAGAAGATGTGAAAAATGGTTCACTCAATTTTAAAATGCTCATAACTTGAAAAATAATTGTCGGAATCAGCTCAAACTTTCTACATGGCATAAGGACATCAATATGCATCAGGAAATGTAATAAAAATTTGGGGTGATTTCAGAGCCATTTTTTGGAAAAACCATGGGCATAGCCTTGGATATTTTTCAAAAATTTGGCATTTTCTTAAAATGGCCATAACTCAAAAAATATTTGTCGGAAACAGCTCAAACTTTCTAGATAGCATAAGGACATCAATATGTATCAGAAAATGTAATAAAAATTTGGGGTGATTTCGGAGCCATTTTTTGGGAAAAACCATGGGCTATAGCCTTGGGTATTTTTCAAAATATTGGTGTTTTCTTAAAATGGCCATAACTCAAAAAATATTTGTCGGAATCGACTCAAACTTTCTAGATAGCATAAGGACATCAATATGTATCAGAAAATGTAATAAAAATTTGGGGTGATTTTGGAGTTTTTTTTTGGGTAAACCATGGACTATAGCCTTGGGTATTTTTCAAAAATTGGCCAATTTTTAAAAATGGCCATAACTCAAAAAATATTTGTCGGAAACAGCTCAAACTTTCTAGATAGCATAAGGACATCAATACGTATCAGGAAATGTAATAAAAATTTATGGTGATTTCGGAGCCATTTTTTGGAAAAAACCATGGGCTATAGCCTTGGGTATTTTTCAAAATATTGGCGTTTTCTTAAAATGGCCATAACTCAAAAAATATTTGTCGGAAACGGCTCAAACTTTCTACATAGCATAAGGACATCAATACGTATCAGAAAATGTAATAAAAATTTGGGGTGATTTCAGTACCATTTTAAAGAAAAACCATGGGCTATAGCCTTGGGTATTTTTCAAAAATTGACTCATTTCTAAAAATGCACATAACTTAAATATATCTGTCGGAATCGGCTCAGACTTTCTATATAGCATAAGGACATCAATACGTGCATGTGTATACCATCTCCTGTCCTATCAAGGAAGTTATCCTCATCACTGTCATAATAGTCGTTCTCTTCCCAATCTCTTTTCTTCCGCTTATAACCTTTAAAAAACACGTCCTTTATTATTCTTCATTACATAGTCTTACTTCTCATTGGATTTCTGAGTACATCTTCATTATCTAATAGTCTGCAAGCTTCCAAGGCACACTTGACAACAGCTTCTTTCTTATTTCCCTTCTGTGATCCTTCAGCATATATTGGTTGACCTGACAAATCTTCAATGGGTAACCTATACATGTATATACATGTAACAGTTGTATTGATACTTGAAGACTTACATTACCCTGACTGTGTAAATCTTTCCATTTGGTTCATTTGTTTCTTCTGTTTCGTATTCCAAATCAATGCCTAAAAATGAAAAGCAAAAAATCATTATTTTTCTTTTACTCTATTCTTCCCCTCTCTCATTTCTCCTACCTTCTCTGTCAAAGAATTTCTTCAATGCTTTCTTAGGGTCGTCAATGTAATAAGCTTCCCTGCCTGAGTCCATCTCTACTTCTTGATCCCTTCCTCTCTCGCTACCAAAATCATCCACTGTCACTAAGAAAGTAAAACATAATAAAATACATTGAAACAAGCGTAACAGGGTAAAAAATATTCCTATAATTGATTTCACCACCTTGCAAGTACAACTTGGTCATTATTAAAACTTATAGAGGTTCTCTCTACCTTATAATGCTTCTAGAGAAGTCTTTAGACAGTATCTCTATGCTCTCTCTTGCTGTTAGAAAGCTCTTAACTTTGTCCCATGTGTAAACCGCCATTTTGCTTGCCGTGACCACACCCACTCACGTAAAGGAGCGTGGGCGGGTGGTTGCTAAATATATATATACATAGCGCGACGGTGAATTCAATTATAGGAACGACCTGGGGGCTTCGCCCCCAGGTCGTTAAAAACTACATGTACAATAATCTATCATTTCTATTAGTTCATACTATTAAATAATTTAAGCAAAGAATAACAATTATCATTGCACAGTGTACTCCATCATAACAATACTAAGTACAGTTACTACATGTACATGTAATGTACACGTACACGTACATGTATATGTACATGTACATGTATATGTACATGTATATGTCTACCTAATGTACCCTAATGTAATGTAATGTACATGTACATGCAAGTGGCGGTAGTCTTACGCAATCCCCATGTGGCGCCAAGTGATTCCTTAAATTGCTCTCTCTCTCTCTTTTCAGCCTCAGCTACTGCCAGCAGTTCCTGATATTCATTCTGTTTCTGTATAATGTCCTCTCTCTCTGCTTCAGCCTCTGCCTCTATTACCTCCTGTACTGACTCCATTGGCTGCTATAATGAGGAAGGGAAAGAGAGAAATATAAAAAAGGAAGGAACAGAGTGTTTAAAGTAAACAGTGAGGGAAGAAAATGAGCAAGGAATACATGTACGGTGTAGATTAAATAAGTGACAAGATTAATGAAAACATACGTAATGTACATTTACATGTATACACTGCAAATATAAAATTAATAAAAATATATACATGTACATGTATCTATAATGTAATGTATATGTAATTTTGTGCAAAATACATGAAGCTTGGACTCACATCTAAAACAAAGATCCTCGTGCTTCCTCCGAACTTCATTACCTGCCCGACCCTAACCCGATAATATTTCCTAGACTGTATCTTGTTCTTATTGAGATATGAGCCGTGGGTGCTCCCAAGATCATACAGATAGAATCCAGCCTCGCCCGTAGGATCAGCGCTCAGTGACGAGGACTCAATGGGCGTGGAGGAAGGCGTCGGCCTGTACTGGAGTATGGCATGATGACGGGATATCGAGGGATGCTCCAAATGAACGCCACACTGAGGAAGACGACCGAATAATATGAACGGGGTATTTAGGCTAACGGAATCAACTTGTACCCCGTTCTTAATGACAGAGAGAAAAAAAGATGACGATGGAGGACGTCCGGACCATACTGGCTCGTTATAGGATAGCTCAAGGGCTACTGGTTCATCACGCGACTTATCGGCATCATGTATGGTTTGAGCTGTTTCCTCCTCTTCCTTAGGCTTTTCACCATTAGATTCATCGCTCTCATTTGTAAGATTGGAGCTGGTGGTTTCTTCGAAGTCCTTGATACTCGATTCTTTTGTCCTGTGTAAAAAACCTGGTAACTTTGGGACTTTGAAATTATCCGCCATTTTAAGAGGCGGAGTCACAAAAAATAACCACACCTATTATAGGTGTGGCACTAATTGTTAGCCACGCCCTTCCTTGCCACATCACACTGAACAAAATTAAACAAATGTAATGAACTCTTCAGTACCATGGCTCTTGCTGTTTTCTGTGGGTTTCTTCTCCTGCCTTCCTTCCACTGACTCTGACCAATCATCAGTAAGAGACAGAGGAAGAGAAAAGAGATTGTGAAAGTCTTTATTATTATTATTATTTATTTATTTATTGTTATTATTATTATTATTTCTTTTCTTTTTCTGCACAGAGTGATATTGCTTTAGCTTATAAAGACTTGTTATTGTTTTCGACTCTGGATGGGAAGCTGTATGCTGTCGATAAAGTAACAGGAGACACCCTGTGGAAACTGAACAGCAGTGAGCAAATACATGTACATACATGTAAAATACATTTAATCATAATTAATTAGTGGTAGATCTATACATGTAATTATTAATTAAATCAAATGAAGTAGAAATCAATGATGATCGAGTAGTTGAGTCAACCATGATAATGTCAAAATAAACAAAGTACATGTGTGTATGTAAAAGTACATACATAATAATTATGGTAAAACAAAACAGATGAAATACATGTACATGTACATAGCATAAATTACCAACAATAAGTATAATGCATGCAGAAAGAGAGAGAGAGAGAGCTAATGAGATAATTTTTGTATAATTAATAAATATCTTTTCTTAATGCTTCAGAGTCTCCCATTGTTACTCATCTCTCTTCATCAAGCTACCTCTACCTCACTGACCCTAAAGACGGCTCCTTATACATGTCTGGACCCCAAAGTGATGGGATTAAGGTATGGACTCACTTATCATAAAATGAGAGGAGATTTATTTTTATCTTTTAATATAATCAATGGGATTATTTGCACTGTGATCGTATCTACTTGCATAATTGTATTCATTTTTAATTTCATGACTCACTACAATAATAGAATTAAGTTACATGTACTTCTACATTTCCTGTATTTCCTCATTTCATTACAATACAGAGGCTACCATTAACCATACCTGAATTAGTAAAGATATCTCCCTGTAGCAGCTCAGATGGTTTACTCTACTCTGGTAAGTACATGTACATGTAAATTTCCCCTTGAGCCCATCTCTGTTTGATATTATGACCTCTTTTCCCTACCCTTTACATGTACATGTACATACTACTCTTATTATTATTATTATTATTATTATTAATTAATTAATTTATTTATTTATTTATTATTATATGTGTCTTTTATTTCTTTCCTTAGGCTCAAAGCAGGATAGTTGGATAGCAGTTGATGCCCTCACTGGTAGAAAGCTTTACTCCTTTAGCAGTCATGATGGAATGAACTCAATGTGTCCACCTAACCAATATGGGAGCAATAAGATTATACACATACCTTCCATTGGTAAGGGCCTCCCTTCCTCCTCTATATTTTTCATGTTCCCTTTAGAATACAGAGTAGCTGTTCTGGACAGTAAAACAAAACAAATAAAGTATTTAGTTTATAAATGGGAGTATATTTAGCCCCCTCTCCCCCTTTATTTTAGAGTGAACATCACCTACACTCAGTATGGTACTCAGTCTTACACAGCAAGGCAATCACAAGGTTTGGGTTCATTAACAAGTACATGCTCCTCAATGATACTTCATTTGTAGATCTTTTACATTTGAGCTCCAGCTCCCATGGTTTATTAACATCACTAAACTCATTAACAGGTTCCATATTTTTATAAATATTATATTTTTAAGATTATTGCAATCATTTTAAAAGTCATTTTTAACTTGCTCCCTCCAGGTGACAAGGTCTGGGAGAAGGATTTCGGCTCCCCGGTTGTTGGAATTTATTCATTAGAGAAGTCACAAGTTTTGCGTAGCATACCCTTTACATCAATCAATGACGATACCCTCCAGGGAATGACGGCATCAAGAGCACTGGCTATTAAGAACGGACTCTATAGCCTAACGCCAACGGACACCATTTTACAGTAAGAGAAGGAGCTGAGAAATGGAGATAAAGAGAAAATCCTAGATTAAAAAATATGACTGAGCACTTACATACATGTATGAATGTAAATTAAATGAAGGCCTGATTGCCCTTCCTAATGTATAGAAACTCTTCTCTATGCATGCTCACTCATTTACTGAAGTACTATTTTGTAATTGTGCTACTATTTAATTGCTACTACTGTTAGTATGAATAAATGTATACATAATGTTCATGTATGTGTACAGTAGTACTGCATGTTCATAGTAAACATGTTTTTATTCTTATTGTTGTACGTGTGTAGATCTTCGTTTTTTGTTGGAGACCACAATGGTCAGATGTATGTAATGAATGCCTTGACTGAGGAAGGAAGCATGCAAGAGGTAAGTAAGGGAAAGGGTAAGAGAGTTGAAGAGATATTCAGGAAAGAACTTTTAGTGATTCTCTTCTCTCTCTCTCTCTCTCTCTCTCTCTCTCTCTCTCTCCCTCTCTCTCTCTCTCTCCCCTCTCTCTCTCTCCCCTCTCTCTCTCTCTCAGTTGCCTCTCAATGTTCCTCTAATTGATGGGCCTCAGCCTCAAGCCACTAGCCTTGATCATCCATCATTCTCTGGCCATTACCCACTCCCCGAGGACAGCAGGATAAAGATAGAGCAGTTGTTATCAGAGAAATGGAGCCAAGAGAAGTACAGGATTGGGCCTACAGTACAGAATAAAGAGCCTTTACAAGTTGTTGATGGTGGTCATATTGATGGACCTGGTCCTGATGTATTAGGTTTCTCATTCAGTTTATTGCTAGTGGTGGCTGGCACTGTAGTGTTCTCTTCTCTTGTTGCTTCAGTCGTGGCTGTGCTAGTAACTAAATCAACACAAAATGTAAGAAAATCGTTATTGTACTCCTATTATCATTGTGTACGTAATCTGTTGTATGGATTAAGCTTGTTTTTTTGCTAAAGCATAAATTATCGTATTATGGAAGTAATTTATGTATTTACAACGTACATGTATTCATGTAGGTTCCTCATAATCCCAGTCCCATTCCTACACCTGATAGTTCAAAGACTGGTTCCCATACCAGTAAGACTCATTCCCAAACCACTGACAACAGTAAAGGTGGTGGAGCTATTGAAGCTACTGATGGAGAGAGAGGAAGCAACAGATCCAGTATTGCTTTATCTGATTCTACACAGAGTATATACAGGAACGGTAAGAGGAAATACCCTGTACTATGTTTCTTAATTACCCTGTACTCTATCCTATACTATGCCATATACATACATGTTCTTATGTTGCGTAGAAAGTTTGAGCTAATTCCGATCAGTTTTGGATTTTTTACGAATTTTTAAAGTTGCTAAAAAATCTAGCAAAAGTCCTGGACAATGGAACTAATGGGTTTTTGCTTGTCACAGATTTTGTGACAATGGAACTAATAGGTTTTTGCTTGTCACGGATTTTGTGACAATGGAACTAATAGGTTTTTGCTTGTCACGGATTTTGTGACAATGGAACTAATGGGTTTTTGCTTGTCATAGATTTGTGACAATGGATTCCATGACATGTACAGTGCATGTAATTTTAATGCATGTACATGTAACTCAGTGTATTGATTATCATTATTATTGATTAATTGCTATGTTCCCACAGGCGAAGTC